ATCCATCCATCCAACCATCATCCATCCATCCATTCATCCATCCATCCATCATCCATCCATCCATCCATCCATCCATCCATCCATCCATCCATCCATCCATCCATTATTTTTTTTAAAACAATTTCTTCCTTTTTGGGTCACAGGGGTCACTGGTGCTCATGTCCGGTAGTGAGAGGCAGGACACACCCTAGACAGGTCTCCAGTCCATCACAGGGACACATAGAGACAAATGAGACAGACAACCATTCACTTTCTCACTCACACCTCGGAAGTATTTAGAGTCACCAATCAGCCTAACATACATGTTTTTGATCTGTGGGAGGAAACCGTAGTACCCAGAGAAAACCAACGCATGCACAGAGAGAACATGCAAACTCCACCCAGAAAGGCCCCTGGACCGGGATTTGAACAAGGGTAACCTGCTCGCTGAAAGGCAGCAGCTCAGTTGCACCACCGTGCCACTGTACACATTTCATCAAGTGAACTCCAAAATTACAGTGTGGTCTTGAAGTTTTCTGTGAACAACATTGTTGTGAGTAAATGCTAACGATTTATATTTTTATGTTAATAGTTAAATGTGAACGATCACATTCTGTGGGAGTTAGTCAGAACTGGGGCTTTTGAAGATTTACTAATGTCCTCTGGTGCTCAGAATATCTGAATCTGTCCCTGTATGCAGGGAAAACAAACTCAGCTACAAAAATGTGAACAGAAGGATGTGTGAGGCCTCTCAGGAGGAACATTATACTAACATCCAGCTGTACAAATGTCCTCTAATGTCTAAATAACCTCAGCGCAGTGAGTCATGAGACGTTTTCAGCTACTTTAGTTTAGCTCTTACTGGATCTGTTTGAAGTCTTTTTTTCTCCCTAAAATGGAGAGATGGGAGCATCAGCTGCACACGGCACTATTCTTCTGAACTGGGAGCAGTAGATTCAGTGGCCACAGGTCTGGGATATCTTCTGTCCTCCCTGTCTCTTGTGTTGTGTTTCTGCAAGGAGAACATGTGCTTTTCAGTCTCAGCTGCTCCGTGTGGACATCTCCACACTTTGTCTTCAGCAGCTCTGTACAAGGACAACTGTTGACAACAAGAGTCTGCAACAGTCTGGATCATGTCAGTGATGTTTGGAAAGGTTAAGTCATGCGCTGAATGCAACCTGGTGCTGCTTGGAGTGATGGGCTGCGGCAAATCAGGTCAGATTTTAAATCTCCATTGGACAAAAGTATGATCTGACTACTTGTTCTTGGAATTTATACATTTATCTAGCATTTTAACTAGATTTCTGCTGTTTTCATCATAGTTGTTTCTGGTTTTTGCTGTTTTTTAATCATTCTCTGTTAATTCGTGTGTTGTTTGTAAGCAACAATAATAGTTCTAACAAAAACTACTCACAAGAGTTTGTCTTATAAGATAATAAGTTTCATAATTCCCGAGGGTAAATGTGGTTGTTTATGTAGCAGTGATTTTTCTCAGGACTCTGACAGTGTGTCCCTTGAGGCTCCACAGCCACTCTCACAGACGTTTTGATGTCCTTTTTCTTATTTCACAGCTCTCACTGTCAAATTTCTCACAAAACGCTTCATCAGTGAATATGACCCTTATCTAGGTAAGCCTTGTTTTCTGTAATTACAATAAAAATACACATACAATGAGTAAAGTTGCTCTTTATTTATGCAAGCATTGTTTTGAAAGAAAAATTATTTCAACCTGGAGCACCGTCTATTAATAAAAAAAAAGGACAAATGATCTATTCAAGTAAAATAAAATCATTGTGAGGAATTTTTACATAAGTTCAGATAAAGTTACAAGG